CTAAACTTTTCCAAATTACATAATTTATTTATATTATCATTATACTTCTGCCGTTTCCCTGCAATACCCACGTTTCCCCAATACATGGCGTAATGAATGATAAAAGCATTTTAGCATTTTGGCCTTTATGCATAACGGAGCGTTGTCATTTATCCTAGTTCACAGGAACGCTCCCTCTATCTGCTCCTGATTCGCCCCCCTGTTCAATTTTAGGACAACAGTGGCCCGCGAGTCAAAAACGTAGCCTACGCCTGATCTATACTGTATAATATTTGAGTACCTTCATGGTTTAAATGAAAATAACAAATGGCCCAAATGACCAAACTGTTTTAAACACGAGTTAGAGTAGCTGTATATACTGCTCTGAAATGCGTTTTTTTTTTTTTTTTTAAGTCCCTGTGCACGTTTGAATGTTCTGCTTTGACAACATCTGATCCAAAGAAAATCAACAGTGGTCATAAAGCAGGTGACAGCTCCTCTGACAACATTCTGCAGTTGTTAAAAACACAAACGCACATTGTTTGTTTTGCCAGATGTCCCAGTTTGACAATCGAAGAAAAACAGGTGTGGCTTTACAACTACAAAGTATTTGAAGGACTTCGAAAGAAATGTCATAAAGGGGATATATCACTTATGTGATGTCAAAATGAAATGTTAGTCACCTGCTTTAGTTGGAAAAAAAAGAGGGATTGATGACAGCTGGATTCTTTACACACCTGTTTCACTCCACTCTTCTCTGCAGCTAGTTTCTGCCTCTTTACATTAAAAGGTAATGAGCCACTTATGCTCCGCCCACTTGTTCTGAGATCACCAAGGACAGCTTTTAATGTGACTATGGCAGAGGCTGAGCCGTGAATTAATTTAAATAAATCAGCAAATGCAATCAAGTGTTTTTTTTTCTTCTTTTGAGCATGTGCAGTAGGGTAGGGTATGTCGTTTTGGCAGGTATGGTAAACTAATAGGACACTGGATAAGCAGCAGTCACATACAAATAAAGTAGATGAAGAATCGTCGCACAGGTAGGAGAGGACTGGTAGGACTGGTAGTGCTAACCAGTATGGGGGAACAGGTTTTGAGACATGTATCTACATACATCTACCTCATTGATAAAAAAAAATAGAACTTTAGTGGCTCACAAAAATTCCAATTCTTTGAACTTGGACCCTTTATTGGTCCCTCCAAACAAACATACAAAAAAAATCAGCATATTCCATATATGAGTTTCAATTTGTATCATATTTGAGCCATCAGGTCACAATGCTCAAAGATTATTTTTTCCTCAACAAACAAAAACATAATAAAAAACAAACAAATTTGTAATTGCAAATATAAAAAGTACTACCACAATGCAGTAATGAGAAAGCCATTAATGGAACTGGTTGGGTGGAAGTCTGGTAATGCAGTAATGAGAAAGTCATTAATGGAACTGGTTGGGTGGAAAACATATTATATATACATATTTATATATACACAGATACACACACACACACATATATATACTGTATATATATACATCTTCCTCCAGCTCTTGTGAGGATTATATAATTATAAAAAATAAAAATAAAAAAACTGTATGTTGCTTGTTCCTTCAGCTCTTGTGAGGATTATATAATTTAAAAATAAAAAAACTGTATGTGGCTTGATGAATAAAAAGACAGTTGACTGATTTAGAGTTACATGACCTTGTTTACCCGCCGTATCAAATTTGATACGTCATTTTCAACACGGTATTTCTGAAACATAGATTATGAAATTTTAAGTATTTTCACATTGCATCAACCCAGTAACTACTCCTATTGATGTTTCAGTAAAAACATTTTTTGCTTATCTTAACTTTTTCAAACTTGACAAAGATCTTCTTCAAAAACCATCTGTGTCCAAATCCTGAGTCATGGGAATCTTGATGTGTCACTGGAAGACCCGCTAATGAGTGAATAACTATCCGTTATTGAATTATCTGTGCACTGCATGTACCTGATTGTATACATCTGATTTTTAGGGAAGAAATATCACACTGCTCATATGGAGGGCTGTAAAACTCATGTATCAAATATGATACATTTGGCGTTATAGGGTTAAAATTCAAAACTCTAAAATTTGAAAAAAAGCAAGTGTGTGTTGCCTTGTACCTGCAGTGATATTTTGAGCATATTAACAAGTCTAACAGACACAACTAGAACAAACCGATCAGTTTGAATCCAAATATTGTTGTTGTTTCTTATTGAAAAACTCTGATGACTTCAGCAGCTCTGCTGTGTTGAAAACAGTTTTTTTTTTCATTTGTTTGTCTTTCTTCATTTATCTCAAGGATCCTGACCTTCAGCTTCCATGAAGCGCCTGGAAATCTGGAAATCACCGGATGTTTTCTATTTTCCGCCTGTTCTTTGTTGACCCTGAGGTTGATTTTGTGCGATAGACCGATCGTTCGCATACAAACAGTCACACAACATTAGAATCGGCTTGATCAACTTTAATGCCTCCTTGACAATGCTGTTGCGTCAAACGTGCCACCGAGCGGACGTAATGAGTGGAGAAACGCACCCTGTCATTGTGCAATATGCTGAGTAATCAATGGTTCACTTGTTGCTGAAAGAAAATTGACACTTCCTCTGTCTGAACCCGTCATGGTTTGGACTTGATTGATGAGCCAATTCCAAAAAAGTGCTTTGCTGGATTTTGGTCAACTGTCAGTGTGATTTTCGCAAGCATATATTTTCAGAGGTAGAAATCCAATTGTCTAAGTGACTGTAAAGTCTCTTTAGTAAGACGCTGAGAGAAAAATATAATATTCTATGAGGCACTCACTGTGTTACCTTGTCTTTTATTGGTCATTGGACTTTTACATTTTTGGGCTGAGGAGTCATCTTTAACACAGCCACAGTCTGCATTCAGATTTTTCTCATTTAACTTTATCGGCCAGGATTTGTGGACTCAAACCCCTGACCTTCTGCTAGAGAGGTGGAGATTCTACCACTGTCTCACCAACCCTCATAATCTTTATTCGTGGATTATATGCCATATTTGAGCATTTCTTTTCAGTTGTACGCTCTTAATAACAGCAATGTTTTGAGTGAAAATGCCTGGCAAATTGTTTCCAAAACATGGAAAACTTGATTCATACAAGTTCAAAAGAATAGTGTCATGGAGAAAAAATGTTTTTCTGCTGGATTCCCGGGAGGAAAAACACCAAGAGGATTTTAGAGTGGAGTCTAAACACTGGTCTACGTAGGCAGCTGCAGGAAATCTGTTGAAGAAGAGACAGTGTAATAGTTGTACACGTGCAGTGTCATTGAAGCACCTGTTAACAAATGGAAATCATGAAGCTATTACTCAGTGGCCACAGCCAAAACAAGAGTTCACCCCACATCAGACTGGTCTGTGTGTGCAGTGGCAACAGGAACGTGAAGTCACTGGAATAACAAGTGTTTTCTGCAGGTCTCAGCACCATGACCTCCAGACCAGAAGGAACACAAAACACAACTTTTAACTTCTGGTTTTACTTTTCAAGTGTGTCTAAAGCAGGAACCTGGCCAAACTTTGAAAGAACAAAGAAGAAAACCCTCGTGTATAAACCAAGAGAAGTAAATATTCTGTCTTTTTTGTAGATAAATCTCTGTATACAGAACTTAGATTGCTGCTATGGGAATGTGGTTTTATTTGTATTTAATCCTATAAACACATCATTTGTCCTTCATATTCAACACACACCAGTGAGACAGTCGTTATTCACTCCACTTCTTTCAATCTGTGGATAATCACAGCATTCCCATGTGACTCAAGCTGCCTCAGTGTTATTCCCAAGAAGACCGGACCCTGAGCAGGAAACTCAGTAGAGAGTGATCAAACAACGAAACAGTAAAAGTATAAAATCCAAACGTGCTGAGGCGTGGTTACACATGCTGGCTGTTTGCCTATGTTTTCTCTCAATGACTCTCTGCAATTCTGTCAATTAAAGCCTGATTCTTAGCACATGATAAAACTTGCAGAAGGATGACTGTATGAAGGCTGCAGGTTTACACTGTAATCACGTGTTAAACAAGAGTCCGTCAAGAAGTTTTATTAGGCCAGGTTGAAGAAAATCTTGAATTAATACAGTGGTTCTCAATCATTGAAATACTATTGAGCCTGAATATGTATATTTCTATCTGTACACTTGACAGAGATATACCAAATAAAACTGGTTCTCTTCATATCCATTTATGTCTAAAGCGACGGTTCCATCAGATAATTCCTTGTATGGTAGAATTCTGTTTCTAGATTACAACCAGCTGCGTCATCTAATGAAACTGAAAATTATTTGTTTTTGAGTGTTCAAGATGCTGATAACACAGCTGCACAAATGACCAAATAACAAAACGATGATAAAAACACCTTTCTTATATTAATGGCCTTTGTGAAAGGCATACATTTGAACCTTCATGAGATTTTCTATAGTTTTTGTTGGCTTTGTCTTAATGTACACATTCCTATGCTTCCATATGGGCAGAAAATAAAATAGTCCAGTGAATAGGTGTGCAACAAATAAACTTGAGGCAATAAATAAATAAATAAATAACCCAGAGTAAAAATATATATACATATACGAAAATATATAATGTGTGTGTTAATATTGCAAATCAGCTACTTGCAACGCAATGTTGCAAAAAATAAGTCCATCATAGGAAAGAGTCACTGGAACAACAACCACATGCTGACGCTTCACAGGCTCATACAGGTTGAAACCACATCTGGAGGCAGTCTGGGTCACATGTGGCCACATTCTTCTCCACGTGTGGAAAAACAAATATTAAGGATGAGCCCTGCAGTCATTAGTCCATTTTTTTTTGTTAAATAATACACGCTCAGTTACTCTACAAATTAAACATTACAAAACACTTGTATACTTGTTTCTATTTTTCTTCGTATCTTAATGTTATAAATAGAACATTATGAAGAGCTTTAACATCTGGTAGCACTGTGAGTCAACCTTTATGTTTTATCAATGTGTGGAAGCCTTCAGTCATCATCGCCGAGGCTGCTTTATAGTGCATGACCCAGTGCGCATGCGCGGCTGGTTGGTCTCGCGCCGTTGATAGCAGACTGAAACAGACTCAGAGCGTCTGCACGGTGTCTCACAGAAGCTCGGTACTGGAAGGAAACTTTTGTATAGAAATTTATTTACACACGACGTTTCTTGTTTTTTTAAACAAATAACCCTACTTAAGTGTGACTTCAATCACACGCGTTTTCACGGGGGCGTTTAAGTTTGTTTTTGCTTTGTTCTGTTTGACGCACACTCGGGACAAGTGTTTGCCATACAATGGCTCTGCCGCCAACTTGTTAAAGTCTATGAGTTCATCCAAGGTAAATTTAAACTTCTTCATTTTATTTGAATTAGTTTAGTGATTTGGTTCTCGGGTGACTCCAAGTACCTCAATGTTCTTATATATGACGAAGGAATATGTTGATTTTATAACTCTAAATTGACCATGGTCTTGAATGTGAGTGTGAATGTCCCTTTATTGGAGAACTGTATATGGTGCACTCTGCGATCAACTAATGACTGCAGGTGTTGACTCCAGCTCACTCTACAGCCTTAGAATTTTTCTTTTTTCTTTTTGCCAGGATTGGATAAACCACTTTGTTTTATGCTTGATGTTTTAATGCAGTTATTATTGTGTAATATTAGACTGACCTTACAAGCAATTAGTAACTTCAGAAGACACATAGCAGTCCTTTTTTTTTGTTGTTAATCTCATCTTTACTGAGGGGATTCAATTTTTTTTACTTTTTGAATCTCATCTTTAACGAGGGGATTCAATTTTTTTTACTTTTTGCATGTGGTTCATTTGGCCTGGCGGGATTTATGCATGGTTCACATTTTTAAAAAAACGTTAAATCAAAGCATTGAGGCAAAAAAAAAAGTGTTGTCAGTGTTTTGTTCTGTATCACTTTTCCTTGTATAAATATTGCAAACCTAAATTGCTTTTTAATGTTCAAAGTAGTATGAGATCTAATGGTGTGTCCACAGCTTGGTCCTCTGAGAATACGTCAAGTATAATGTTTCACAGGAATGGACCGGTGCAACATTTTCACTGCATTACAAGATTACTTTACTGTAAATGAATGCCAAAACAGAAGGAAATATTATCCAGGGCTGAGGTCAAAGCAGGTGATGGTGACTCAAGACACAAACACACACAAGAAACTAAAAATATGTTGCGTGTATTGTTCCTTTAAATAAGATAATTGGATTATGCAAATTGCTTTATGATATATAAGTAATGATGACAATATCTGTGTCACTGTATATCCAAAGATTGTTTTTGTTAGACATTCGGTCAGACTTCAATGGGTCTGTCTGTCAGAGAGAGAGCAGAATTAAGATTGAAAAAGCGACAAATCCAAGGACAAGTTTAAGATCATTGGATTAGCTGAGAGGACAAACAGTCTGAAGTTTCCTAATATTGACAAATGATAGAAAATGCACAGAGACAAGCCTGTCTTCTCCAGTCTAAGTAAAATTAAGGGCAGCTCGAAGGGTTTCAAAGTGCCATTTTGAATCCTTAGTAATCTGGTTTGCAAATACTGCAGGGTTCGTCAAGACTGTCAGACGTGTACTCAGGACAAGACTAAATGAGAGGACAGTCGAGACAGTTAGTCTGTTTTTTGTGCTTAAGTGATGCTGCGTTTACATTCCCCCCTACACCACAAACCCAGGACATCAGCCCAAACAACGGGGTTAGTTGCTCTTTAACAGTATGCTCAGAACCTGACGGTTACCCCTCTGAGAATGTTTAGGACTACTGCCAATGACTATGTTAGAGTTGCTCTGTGTCTCTGTCCGGTAACTGCGCCAAAATCAGATGACTTGTTTGTTTTTGATTGCATGCATGTGTCAATCAGGAGAGCTGCATGATGGACAGGAAGTATGGGGTGAACTTGCAGCTGCTGAGCAAGGAGAAATGTGTAAAGATTAGTGTAGACAGCAATGTACTATAAGTGCAAAGACAAAAGCAGGAGCGTAGAGAAGAGAGAGAGAGGTGCATTAGGAGGTGCACAGTCAGTAGCAAAGAGAATTAGTGCATCATGTAGAGTGAAAGTTTTGGAAAGGCTTCTGGTGGAAACACCTCTGTGTCTACTATGAACTGGGTTTTGTTATTACAAAAGTGAAAAGGTAAGACAAAGAACAGACATGACAATTTTAAAGTTTGTCTTTGTGTGTGTAGCGGTCCGGGGTTCGGGGGGGGGGGTGCAACTTGAAGGTTGTAAATCTGTCAGATCAGAACCACTCCTTTACGCCTTTAGTGTGGAATTTTTTACAATAAACACCTGGTGGCTAATATGTACTTACATATGCACGCACTTTTGTTGACCTTGTTAACCTTTGCTGCTGCTGTTGCGGCTGCTACACACTAAGCACAGCTTCTCGATGTGAATTTTGACATTTTAAAACAGGTTGACGCTTTCTGTCTCATATTGCAAATTGCAACAATGTTGTTGTCAGTGTAATGTCAGGAGCTGAAGATTGACTGCTTATTTCATGGATGGTTTAGTCTAGAGATGTCATAAAAAATCATCCCATCATTAATTGCTAACCATGCAACCATAGTTTGCGTCCAATCCAGACTGGATGATGAAATCTCTATTCTTTGTCCTCTTTCTGGTTTCATTGTCCTATAGCCTACTGCCTTGTGTCTATTTGGTATTTCCATTGTTTCATCGCAGCCACATTTACTTCCCCACTAGAAGAGACAAACAGAAGAGTCATTCTGTTTCTCCTCATTTTAAAGATTTCACTGGAGCATGCATGCACTTGCTTAAGGCCTGGAAAATATAATGATTTCATCACATTAATGTGGGAAGTCTTTTGCAGATGGAGATTTAACTGCGACTGTACTTATTGACAAATGTTAACTAAATTATATAGATGTGCATTTTCATTTGTAACTACCTTTGTCCTTGGAGTATTCAAATAGCTCTACTTAATTGACTCCAGTTGGGGTTTAATGGAATAAACCAGTAGTTGTATTCTCTATTTATGGAGCATTTGATTGGTTTTTAAATGTCTCTTGTGAGCTGACCACAGTGCCCACTCTCTTGACTCATAGACCCATAATAGCCAACCCTCACATTAGCTAAGATAATTAGAAATGTGTGTGTGTGTATTTGATAATCACGACAAAATGACATTTGTAACGTGAAATTGTGCTGGTGCAGCTGTGTGTACGCCTGCCTTTGCTGGGAAATTAAATAATGTTCAGTGTTTATCAAAGCAAAGAGGATGTTTATATTTGTCTCTGCACTTGTGTGTGCATGTGTTGCCTATTTGGTCATATGTCTTTTTGACTGCCTGTACTCCAGACAAATTTATGAGCATCTGCAAGCATGTAATTTGCTGCGTATCCTTGGCCATGATGGGGTTTTGTTTCCTTCCTGGTCATTTTGTTCAGTTTCATTACTTAAATTCATTACAGCTTAATCATCTGTGTTTCCTCATGAGTCGACACACGTGTGTTTGTGTGCTGTATTTTGTTGGAAGGTCAGATGTTGAGGAACATTTGACATGTATCATAGTTGAGCTTGTTTAAAAAGTCTTCAAAGATTATTCAAGTAGATTTTTTTGTTATTTAGAGTTTATATTTGCTAGTATAGAAACCTTTCTCTTTGACATTAAAGGGAATATAGATATATATAGATATATTAATGATATATTAGTGACACTACACCATAGATATTTGGATCATACATAATGTGTGCATAGTTTAATGCAGTGAGATAACATTGTATCTGCACTTTTGCATTCAGGTTTTGAACTTCACAGCATATTTGTTGTTGTTGTAATATATAAAATATTATGAGCTTCCTACAGGGGAATTAGCTCAAATGGTAGAGCGCTCGCTTAGCATGCGAGAGGTAGCGGGATCGATGCCCGCATTCTCCAGGCAACATTTTTGACTGTGGTGCATTGCTTTCATGGAAGAGACAAAAATTAAAACAAGGGCCAAGTTAACCCACATGAATTACCCAAACTGACCAGGTCTATTGTGTTATTCTCCAGTTTTGAAGTTGCTTTGCTTGCATGGCACAGCCACACATTAAGATACGAACCAGTTAAACCAGAATGATTCTCTAAACTGACAAATGTTCTAAGCCAGAAATACTCTTATGGACATAGTCAGTGAAATAGGCATCTGTTTCACATCTGATGCAGTTTTGGGTGTGGGAGCAGCAGGCTGACACTGAACACATGGCTGAAAAGCTTCTGTGTAATGTCTACCCTACTCCATGTTTAAATAAAAAAAAAACAACAAGCAACCACAAAAACACAGAAAAAAACACAAAGAAAATGTTTGATTAATAACAATTATTTGTGAAGTATCATTCACATAGCACTAAAGTGATGTTTCCCATCTGAAATGGTTTCTTGTCTTTCTGCGCAGAGGGGAATTAGCTCAAATGGTAGAGCGCTCGCTTAGCATGCGAGAGGTAGCGGGATCGATGCCCGCATTCTCCAGCTTCTTCTTTTTGATTTCCTATATATGGTGCATTTCCCTCATGGGTAAAGTAAAAATCATATTGTGGAACTAAATCAAGCAGAAAAGGCTAACTCTGAAGACAGGCCACAGCAGCTCTCATGTACTTCAAACTCTCACTACTCATAAACCCCCTTGTGTTTCACAGAGAATGTACAGAAATGTGGTACTAAATATAATGCTATAAATGATTCCATTTGCCTATTTAACAGGCAGTCAAATGTTTACTAGCACTAAACACTACTAGCAACATCACATGGGGGCTCACAATACTCTCTCTAATGCTGCTGGGTTCTTCAGAAGTGGAACTTCAGTGACAGTAGTCTGCCATTAAAATTTCACAATCATAGCTTTTATTTTTAATCACAACTGACCTTCAGCTCTGTCTTCAGGGAGACTCAAGGGCAGTAAACAGCACGTCTTGCCTAACAAAGTGAAAGCGTGTGTGTTTGTGTGTGTATGTGTGACTGTGTGTGTGTGTGTGTCAGCAAGGGAGATTAACAGTGTGGAGGGAGTGTCGCTGTCAGCAGCTCCTGCTGCAGTACATTGGTAGTACTATTCCTGTACTGACATGTGACCTGTGTTTAACGGTTTCTGGTGGGGTGCGTTCCCTTCACAAGGGGAATTAGCTCAAATGGTAGAGCGCTCGCTTAGCATGCGAGAGGTAGCGGGATCGATGCCCGCATTCTCCAGGCAACATTTTGACCACTGATACGTGGTGCATTTATGTCATCTGTAAAATATACATCACATAATAATAATAATAACTTTATCAATATAGCACATTTTGTACAGGCATGTACCTCAAAGTGCTTTAACAATGCTTCAGTTCAAAACTAACAGTTTGACAAAGAAGAAAACAGGGTTGACATTTTTTTTGTTTTTTGGTTGGGACTATTAAACCAGCAGAACTAAACCAATGCAGAACATGGGTCTGAAGTGCTGCATTCTCACAATGCATGAGGCACTTAACCTCTTCTTATTCTTAAAAACAAAAATATGAATAATGTGATGGTGAACCTAATATCCTATAAATAATTCTAATCCCGGAATAAATTGGCACAAAGACATGCAAACAAACTTTGTTAACATGGCGTTGTTTATGGCTTTTTTTTTTTATTAAAAAGGTTAAATCTTATCTGTTGCTGTTGGAAAAAGTTCAAGAAATCAGCTGAGAGAGAGTTTCTTAGAGTCAAACAAGCACATGTCAAAACCATGAACTATGCCTTTAACCAGACCACCAACAAAGTAAACAGTCTTGGCACAGACTCTAATCATGGAGTCATTCGTGATGTCATCAACCTTAAACCAATAAAGGCTTGTTAAATTAAAACTATGTCAAAGCTCTGACATAGGTATGAGTCAATGTTAAATAGAATTCTTGTGAAGTCTTTTCTACTGAATAGCTTAGTGTATGACACATGTTAGAAAAGACAAATCCAGTAATGTCGACAGGATTGCTGACTGACAGGAGCAGATTGGTTGTAAAATTCCATGAATCATGTTCTGACCAGCAGTGGATGGAGTGGTTGATGCCATCATTTCCGTACTTGTTGGAAGGAAAAGCATATTGTTTGGTTTGCATGACCAACCCTGCTGGTTCTTGGCATTTATTTTTAAAATCTACAGGGCAATTAATTAAATGTAACCAAATTAGCTGCATTTGGTGTTTCTCTTTTATTTATATATTTAGTAAGTTGCTAATATGAGTTTAGGTTGACATTATACAACTATTACACTTTATGGGAAGACAAAACATTGTGCTATGACTTTGAGGTTTCTTTTTTTCTTTTTTTTTTACCAACAAGTAAAAGATATTTGGTAAAAAACAAAGTACATTTGGACTTTGTGTTTCTTTTCCCCACATTTGGACATGACTTTAACAAGTACTGGCCTCTGCTGTCCTCTTGTGGAGGAGTTTTGCTTTTCATTCTATGTATCTTTTTTTTTTTTTTTTTTTTACTAAATGTATATCAATTTAATTATTTTAATTATTATAAATACAAGCCTTAACAGGGAATAAAGTGGTTCTTGTCTTGCCTTACAGCAAGAAGTTCACTGATTTGGCTTGTTTGATCTCCACTCTTGCATGTTCTCACTTTCTTTGCTAGGGGATTTCCAGGTATTTCTGCTTCTGGCATCCAAAAAATCCAGATCAGTAACTAATTGTAAATAACTAATTAATTGTTCACTCCAAATTGACCACATTGCCAGTGTGAATTTTTGTTTGTCTCCATTTGTGGCCCTAGGATAGACTGGTGAGATATCCAAGTGTACCTGGCACCTGTTGGTTTGGCTCAATCCCCCATTCCTGGAACCCTTAAATTGACAAAGCTTCAGAAGATGAATGAATTATTATTTGTGTTAAATGATCTGTCTCTTTCATTTTCAGAATGTGAAGATGCCACATTTCATTGACTCCCTCACTGAAACGTCCCTGGACATCTTATCCACCAGTATTTACCATACAGAACCTTACACAGCCGAGACCTTTATTTTGAACATCAGCAACTTCAGTGGGACCAACATCCTTCACTGCACCTATAAAGAAGAGTTTAAACGCATTTTACTGCCCACGGTTTACACCCTCGTCTTCCTGCTGGGCCTCCCTCTTAACTCTGCTGTCATACTGAAGATATGGAAAACTAGACCACACCTGTCCAATAACAACATCTACATGCTGAACTTGGCTATAGCCGACTTTCTGTATGTGACATCGCTGCCGCTGCTCATCTACAACTATGGCAGTAATGACTACTGGCCCTTTGGGGAATTTGCTTGTAAGCTGGTCAGGTTTCAGTTCTATAGGTGAGTTGTCTGAGGAGTGATGTCCAGCTTTGTCCTCCTAAATTATCTTGGATGTGGACAATTTCAACTTTAATTCTTTTTTTTACATCCTTGTGAATTAATTTTGAGTGTTTGAAAAATGTAAAAACTTGTCTTTCTTCTCTTTTTGTAGTAATCTGCACGGCAGCATTCTCTTCCTCACTTGCATCAGCATTCAGCGCTATGTGGGCATTTGCCATCCTCTGGCGGTGTTGCACAACCAGGGTGGCCGTAGGATGACGTGGTGCATCTGCTTAGGTGTTTGGGTGGTGGTCGGCCTCCTCTGTGCTCCTACTTTTCACTATGCTGCAACAGGAATCCAGCGTAACCGCACCGTATGTTACGATTTGAGTCCTCCACGGTTTTCTGTGAACTACTTCCCCTACGGTATGACTCTGACCTTCCTCGGCTTCCTGTTGCCTTTTGTGGGTGTGATGGCGTGCTACTGTCGGATGGCACAAATCCTCTGCCGCCCACTGTCTTACGAGAGCGTCGCCGCAGCCAGTGTGGAAAAAAGGGACAAGGCGGTGAGGATGATCATTGTGGTGGCAGTGGTTTTCTGCATTAGTTTCCTGCCATTTCACCTCACTAAGACCATGTACCTGGTGATACGTTCCTTACCTGGTGCACCGTGCCAGACCAGGAACTTGTTTTCCATTATTTACAAAAGTACCAGGCCGTTTGCCAGCATGAACAGCTTCCTGGACCCCATTCTGTTCTATTTCACACAGCCACGATACCGACAGAGCACCCAGAGGTTTGTACTTAAGATCACAACTCTCAGGGACAAAGTCAACAGCACTGTGTGAACAAAGAGATTGAACTCTGACCGAACCGTAACCGAAGCACAGAAGAAACTTAGGTGGCTGCTCCAATCCCCTGTGGCCACAAAAAAAATAACAAAGAAAAAATACAAAACACAACTTATTTCTGGCAACGGTGCGAAAACATGACATGGCAAAATGATGTAACAATAGGAGTTTAAATAAATTTGGCCAATTGTTTGAAAAACCTAGTTTTTCAAGTGAGAGATGAAATCCTAAAATTGCATTACATTTTAAAATATTATATTATGTAAGTAACTTTCCAAAAAAAGATGATTCTATTTTCAAATTAAGATGCACTTGAAATAATGTTGAGGCTTCAGCATGAGAAATAATCATTTATAACTTAAGGCTATAAATGAATGTATAAAGTGTTGGGAAATCAGTTCAACTAATTTCCCTAAAGTTTTTCTTTTTACACAGGGCATTGTAACCAAATATACAGTGTTACTGCTAATGTTTTATCTCTAAGCCTCTTCCAAACATGCTTTTAAATGGCAACGTTTCATCAAGGTGGACTTTGAAAAAAAAAAAAACATTCATTAACATAATATATTGTTGGGTAAACAAACAGTACAACTACCATTCAAAAAACATTCATTAATATATAATACACATACATAATATATTGTTGGGTAAACAAACAGTACAACTACCAGCCCACCAGGGGGCACATTACATTTTTTTAGTTTACATGATCCTCTATGCTTTTAATTCAATTACTCTCCAATTTTACCACAGGTATACAATTTTACCACCCTCCCCTGAAGACTACTGAATTATTTGTGGGATCATTAAAATGGCCGACAAATGAATAAATTGGGACCAATAATCGTAGGTATATTTATTTACCAGTAGAAAATATTTGACAACTCCCAAAATGTAGTCCATTGTTTATTTTCTTTTAAGCTGCTACGGTACTGGTTTCATCCAATCAAATTGGAAAAACCTGAGCCAATCTGAGAGAGAGGAGAGAAAACACTGTTGTGTTGAATAGAAAGAAAACTAGCTCAAGACTAAAGTGTTAACTTAGTTAACAGGTACGTTTTCAACGGGGGGAGGGGGGGTTAATTTACATGATATTTTAACTGGTAACTGGTTTCCGGTAAAATATCTAATATTGGCAATGTTAATAATGGTGTATGATGTAGCTTGTAATAGCATATAGCCTCCACTAGGTGGAGACCAAACTGCAGAAATAATAAAAAAAATTTCTTTTGTAATTTTTAATGTACTTTTACATATCGTAGTAGACCAATGAACCCCTTTAGCTCAAGAACCGTGTAACAGATCGACACACTATCTGTGGGTCAAAATTAAAGCACATGTACACTGTTCCCCGCTAACTGTTACACAGACATGGCCACTCCACATTAATGCCATAATAAAATGACAATTCGGTCTGCACTTAAAAAAGCATGCATATTGTTCAGTACTTGATTGTGTATAAAATATGCTGTGTATAGTAGGAAGTCCTACATGTATAAATGTATATGAACCCTGTTACTGACTTTTGTCAAATTGTGATCAATATTCTTTATGAAATGAACAGCATTTAGTGCAAATGGAAACACTGTTTTTTTCTAATGCTTACAACTGTTTTTTTTACTGTAGCTAAGTATTGATTTAAAACATTAAATTCTTTTTCATATTTCTATTTTTGTTTTAGAAACTACCTTCAAGTTTAATTTTAGACATTTTCCTTAGCACTCAAATGTGAGAATTCTCTGTTCTGCAGAGAATCGTGTATGTTTGTCTGACGTTACACCTGATTCTAAATTGCACTGATGAAGAGACATGGCATTGTTGATGGATTTTTTTGTGATTGTGCCTCACTGTGTACATGCTTAACTGTGAACGGGGATTTTTGTTGTGTGTTGTTGAATAATGTTAGAAACTGTATATGTGAACAGCATGATAATTGTAGCGTATACTGTATATTCATCTAAACTTGGCCTATTGTGCACTGGGCTCTAGGATGAAGCAAAGCTATGACTGCACTGCTGTGTTTCTGTGTCAGTTTAATCAAACTTTTTTTGACATTCAGTGTATTTTATTTCCTCCATGTGTGTGTATTTGTGCCTGTAGTCACTGTGAATAGATGTGAACCGTTGAGTACTGTGCCAACCTTCGTGTCAGTATTATTTAGTTAGACATTTTTGTACTCCAACAGTGAATAATTTATTATAAAGGTACGTCATATTGTGTATAGCGTTGATTTAGAGTAAGCTTTTGCAGCAACTAAGTAAATTCTAAAATAGTAATTATGACTAGAAACTGTCATTAAAATCAGCAAATAATGGAAAAGCCAACTTGTCTTTATTGATATGAAATGTTTGTTTTAATTAATGCAGATTTATATCTGTGGCATCCTAATTAGCACACAATTTAGATGGTGGGTTTTGTGGGTGTAGTTATCTTTTTCTGAGCAACAAAATTCAAAATGTAAGAAAATAAGAGTTCCCTTTTTTTGCACTCACATCTACTGTATATAGTCTGCATCTTTTAGTCTTTGATAAATTAATTTTGGAATTTAGGAATTCCAACAAGTATTCTTCTATGTTACGATCGGTACTTAGTGATCCTTTGATGAAAATCCACATGTTGCAACAGCAGTACCACAAACCACACAGTGATTTTTTTATTTTTGTTTAAGAACTAATTATGGGTATCAGTAATGATTGTTATTTACAATTTGTAAAATTGTGGCAAACGAAACCACAAGAATTTCAAAACAAACTCTGACCTAAGAAAACAGGAGACGTATTTTTGATTTGCTTTAATCAGAACTCCGTTAAACAAAATACCAAGTTCTGGCCTTAAATCTATATCTGCGCAGTACTGCAGACTCCACACTTTACTGCATGTGCTATCTTTCTCACAATGATAATGGAAATTCTGGCATGTATTTCGGCTGAGAGGCTACATTTGAACCGCGGAGGGCGCTGTTGTACCCATTCATTCATTCATCTCTCTAGTTACTCCAGTGAGAGTGAATGCAACACGGAGAATCCCCCCTCGGAACAAAAGGCGACCACAGAGGGTTTATTGTGCATCGGTGTAAACTTTTTTTTCCCCTTCTTTGACCTCTTTTTCTTTCCTTGACTGCTGATTTACTAACAACATAAAAACACAACGGCTGAAATATGAACGTGCACTTGGAAGTGTGCCATATATTTAGCTGATAGCAGTATTTTCCGGCTAAATATGCTAACAAATGCTAAAACAAAGAATGCAAAAACAACTTTAATTTGTTTTCCTGTAAAAAACTAAACAAAACAATGATAGCGGTAAAACTATGTCTATATCAGTTGTATAATATTAGTTTTATGAAGTCATGGGGAAATACATCATGTAACAGCACTTTCTTTCGCA